GGGGCTCTGATTGAGGATGCACTGGGGTCAAGGACGCAAGGCTCAGAGCGGAAATCAGCCCCTGGGAAGGGCAGGGTCTCTGTCCCTCAGTCTCCTACTGAAAGGTCCTCCTTTCCTGTTGGGGTGGGGGGTTTCTCACTTTGCAGCCCAGGCTGGCCTTAAACTCCTGAGGATCCTCCTGCCTCAGCCTCCTGAGTGCTGGGATGACAGGTGTGGGCCATCTCGCTTGGCTTCCCTGTGTCTCTGAGCTGAGACCAGGCTGAGCCTGATGGGGGTTGGCTCTCACAGCTCTGCCAGAGCTGGTATCACACTTGGAGTGCGCAACAGGGAGACAAGGGAGATGCGGACAGAGAGGGTCGGACGGAGCCCAGGGATGCACAAACCTCTTCCTCTGCTCACCTGCTAAGTGACGGCATTTCATTTAAAAGAATAACAAACGGACAGGTCGCAGAACAGCTCGGAGGGCCCTGCATTGCATGACCTACCGAGTCTACTCTTGCTTTAAAATCTTATGACAGCCAGCACTTGCAATGCAGCTACTCAGAAGCCCAAGGCAGGAGGATCAGTACAGGCCAGGAGTTCAAGGTCAGCCTGGGCAGCATCTCAAGACCAGTGTTCCTGGGGAGGGCGGGAGAGACTCGGAGGAGAATCAGTCAGGCTTCTCCGAGCAAGGCCTACAGAGGGTCAGAGTAGAGGTTTGTTAAAATGGTCTTCTAGGGAACACTCAGACCTTCATTTTAAAGTTCAAATTGGGTTTGAGGATGCACACCTGTCATCCCAGCACTCAGGAGGCTGAGGCAGGGAGATGGCCCGGAGCTGGAGGCCAGCCTGGGCCACACAGCGAGACCCTGTCTCAAAAATTAAAATCAAAAAAGGTTTGGGCCTGGGTGTAAATTGAAGCAGAGCCATGAGGCAGAGGAGCAGGATGTGGGTCTATTCCTGAGGCCAGTGGTTTTACAGGACACTAAGAAAACCCTTTTTCTGAAAGAGAAACAGAGAAAGTACAGTATTGGAAATAACTGTGCTTTCTCGGTGACGGAAGAGGTAGATGACTTGACTCAGTAACTTCAACAAGAGACTCAGGAGAGAGAAAAATGGCCCACAAGTCAGGCAGAGGCAGAGGGAAGACCCTACAAAGACCATTTCTTCTCAAGGGAGAAAAAGTATCCACACGAACTGGAAAAATGGTCACCAGGCTGCACAAGCTCCCGTCCACTTCCCCAGCCAGCCAGCAAATGCAGGTGTGATGCAGGGGTGGTGAGTGCTGGATCTTTACTTCTCCTAAAGTACTGTAGCAGGCCTAGTGGTGCACACCTGCAATCCCAGCACTCGGGAGGCTGAGGCAGGAGGATCGCTGTGAGTTCAAGACCAGCCTGGGCTACATCATAGTGAGTTCCAGCTCCAGGTCAGTCTCAAGGACACAGTGAGACCCTGTCTCAAAAAAAAAAAAAAAGAAGTATTGTAATAAAAAGCACACTGCCATGGGTCTTCAGCTGTGCTGTCCTGGCTGCCTGGGTGCCCTGAATCCACTCGAAATGTTTCCCCTCCTGAGCATCTGATGTTGGGGAGGAGCAGGTCCAGCGAAGACGGTGGGTGAGGACGAGCCCTGTGTCGTGACCCTGCCTTTGTGTAGGATGGCACGTGGGAGGGGCGCTCACCAGACCTTTGGTGACACCTCCCAAACGCAGGACAGAGGACTCCAGAGCGCCGCGGAAAGTGGCGATGGGAGGGGTGTGAGGTGTGGGGAGGGCGGCGGCTGTGTGCCTCTCCCGCAGCACAGGGCTCCCGTAGGCATTCACCGGGATCTGTGATCACCTCGCAGGCACACCCCACCCTTCTTTCTTAAAGACGGCACAGGAAACGGGAAATTCTCAGTGTGGGGACCTGGGGCCGGACCAGGACCCGGGACAGCGGATGACAGGACCCTCCTTCCCTTCCACAAAGTCATTCAGTGGACCTGGGTTGTGTTTGACAGCCTCAAAACGATAATGCTCTCTTTCTTGGTTACCTGGGAATAAAACTATAGAATTTAGATGTAGGTGTGTGTGTGTGTGCACGCGCGCGTGTGTGTATAAATTTGGGGGGGTTGTTTTTTTTTCTTGGTACTGGGGATCGAACTTAGGCCCTTAGCGCTTACAAGGCAGGCGGCAGAACCACTGAGCTAAACCCCGGGCCTACGTTACTTTTAATGAGACGAAGTCTTGCCGTATTTCCCAGGCTGGTCCCCAACTCCTTGGCCGCACTGCTCCTCCCACCCAGCCCGAGTGGCTGCGCCTCCGTCAGTACCTCTCGTGTGCAGCGTACCCACTGGATTCTCAGGTCTGCAGGACAGCGAGCTGTCTGCTTTCCCAGCAGTGCCTCCCCAGTACCCAGAAGGCGGCCTCGCGTTTACTTGATGAATACCCACCTGGAAAACTTTTCCAGAGAATTCACGTCTTAAAACCCAAAGCAGCTGGGGCCTCAGCCCGGCCCTGGGGCTTGGCTGACACGCGCGGGGCCTGAGATGATCCCCACCACCATGAGAAAGGAAAGGTACTGAACAAGACAAAACCCGAAAGAAGCTAAGAATAGTGATGAACAAGGATGAAACACGTGCGAGGGAGAACCGGCGGGGGCTCGTGCTGGGCCAGCCCCTGTGCGTAGTTTTTTGAAAGAATTCCCATTATTATCTATTATTACTTACTTTCCTCTTTGCCAAATAAAGCAAGGCTAAAGAGGTTAAACGATTTTCCCAGGAACATATCCCTAATAAATGTGCTAAAAATAAGCCTGAGGATTATTTACTCCGGAAAGTCAGTCCTGGGCCGAGCTAATCCAACTGTAAAAGCCAAGTGCAGGCTAAGGTTGGTGGGGGGCATAGGGTCTTGGCCGGGCAGCGAGTATTTAGCTCCTCGTCTTCTTCTCTTTGGTGACCTGAGACGTTTCCATGAAGTCTTACACCTCCCGACCCTTCACCTCCAAGGAGAGAAAATACTCTGACTCGCGCTGTGATTTCGCTGGGACTTGCGCGGGCTTGGTTCTGGGTCAGGATGGGAGGAAAGGGGCACCCAGGGCGGCCCCATTACCACGCCAGGGGGCAGAGAGGTGCTGTGTGCAGAGTGACCGAAGTCTTACCAGCCCAGGGCGGGGGAGAGGAAGTCTATTTTCCGTGACAATGATAATGCTAAAAATATGAACAGGCGAGAGGAAAATGCTCATTCTGAGAGTCGGGTTCCCTTCCCTCACGGGCCAAGGAAGCCCTGGGACCCACGGCGGCTGGGGAAGGTTTGGCTGAGGACGGGCTGGGGTCCTCGCTGCGTTGGGCCATGGCAGACTGGGCACCCGCGGCTCGGGCACAGGGATGGAGGCCCAGACCGCAGCCCTGCAGGCTGGGCCAGGAGCCATCGGGCTGAAGGCTGGGAGATGGGGACACTGGGGTAGGGAAGAGTAAGGGCCTACCACCTCCTACTCCTTACCAACCTCTGATCTCTTCCCTGCAACGCCTGATCATTTCAACTCATTTATAGTACAGGCAAAAGTATATGTGGTAGAATTTGTTCTTGCCTGCATCTTAAATATTCTAGAAAAAAAACAACAACATATTAGGTCGGGCGTAGCGGTGCCCACCTGTCATCCCAGCACTCTGGGAGGCTGAGGCGGGAGGATGGCAAATTCAAGCCCAGCCTGGCATGAATGCACTGAGAGAGACTCCGTCTCAACACTGAGAGAAACTGAGGCGGGGGCTGGTGATGGAGCTCAGTGGGAGGGCTGGGTTCCACCCCCAGCATTAAAAAGAGCAGAAGCCATCAGTTTCTTACACTACAGATGATGCTCTGAAATAGAACCCAGATGCCAGGCATTAAGGAAGGTCCCTGATCTTTAGTGCCGTGGTTTTAAGGCCATGACATTTCACTCTTACGATACCTGGACTTCTGGTTTCAGAAACTCGCAGGACCAATCATGTAGGCGCACTGCAACCTGCCTCTCCGAGCCAGTTCTCAGGGGATGAGACACTAAGACCCTCGAGGGAACCTG